GGGCGTGACTGTGACGCTGAGGCTCCCGGGGATGAGTCACCCTGGCTCTGGGGGTGATTGGCTGAGCCCCTGGGGATGAGTGACCCTGGCTCTGGGGGTGACTGTGAGGCTGAGCCCCCCGGGGATGAGTCACCCTGGCTCTGGGGGTGACTGGCTGAGCCCCCCGGGGATGAGTGACCCTGGCTCTGGGGGTGACTGTGAGGCTGAGCCCCCCGGGGATGAGTCACCCTGGCTCTGGGGGTGATTGGCTGAGCCCCTGGGGATGAGTGACCCTGGCTCTGGGGGTGACTGTGAGGCTGAGCCCCCACGATGGGGTGAACCTGTCTGTGAGGTGACTGGCGATGAGCCTGTGGAACCATGTGAGCCTTTGGGGTTTGAGCCCCTGACTACAATCTTCTCGTCAGGCTGGCCTAGGGCCTGTTCCCAGGATGGGGCTGATCAGATCCCGTTACGGGACCACATGCCCAGGCCTGTTAACCGGGGGTCACCCAATGAATTAAGAGGCACTAGCACGGGCGGCGGGTATCATAGGCAGGGAAGGCATTGCTTTCCCAAACCGTCAGCCTAGCTCCACCAAGACTCCACCCCCAGATGCTTACTGTTGGTCTACTGGGGGCTGAGTGTTGGCAGCCCCCAAGCATCCATCATCCCCATGCTCTGGGTCTCAGGGGAAGCTGGGACCACATGCTGCCAGTCCTCCCCATGCTCTGGGGCAGGGGAGGGTCGGGCCATGCACTGGATGGAGGGGGGTGCCAGGTGTCCAGTTTGGGCTTGCCTCCCCAACCCTACCTTCACCCACTGCTTGCAAGCAAAAGGGAAAACTTTGTGCAACACAGCATTAACCTGTGGAACTCATTGCCAGGGGTTGATGTGAAGACAAAAGTATAACGGTTCAAAAATGAATTCAAAAAGCTAAGTCCATGGAGTGCAAGAGAGTCCATAGAGTGAGTCATAGGTTGTTAGCCAAGACATTTAGTGAGGTAGCCCCACACTCTGGGTGTCCTCAAACCTTTGATTGCTACAAGCTAGGTCTGGGAGACCAAGAAGGGATCACTATTCATTCCCTCTGAAGCATCTGGCACCAGCCCATTAGAGGGCAGGATATTGGGCTAGGTGGACTATTGGTCCAACCCCAGATGGCCATTCTTATGCCATCACTGCTGAATTACAAGGCACAGCAAAGCCTACACTGTCTGGATACTGTTTGTGTGACGTTAGGCATCAGATAAGGGCCTGATGATCATCCAGCACTGGGCACAAAGTTCCCACCTACAACAGTGCCCCGTTCAGACCAATCCCAGTATTGCCAACACCAAGCATTCAAAAATCACGAGTCAGAGCTCTCAGAATCAGGAGATTGAAAACAGTAATACAATTGAAGACTCTTTATTCATGTTCTGGGCACTGAACCTTTAGAGGGCGGGGTTCACATTTTCCAGTTTTTCTTTGCAAGCATGAGAGAGAGAAATGTCCTTTTTTTTAAAATGAAAGGTGAGATTCATGTGACTTCAGGAGCTGAGGCGTCCCAAAAAAATGCCAAATATCATGAGATGACAAAAATCACAAGAGTTGGCGATAATCCAAATTTCTACCATAGCCACTACCTCTCCCCACTAGGGGCTACTCCAAGATTTTGGTAAGTGGTCAAGCCATATGCAGATGTGCACCACCAGTTGAAACAGATGCAGCCAGTTGTGGGCACTCTGCTAATCGGCGGCATCTGAATCTCTCCTGAGTGGCCACCTAACTGCACAGCTTACAGGGAACACTGCTCACCACATAAGTGGGGAAAAGGTGTGTCTTAAACGCCTGCTAGCTAACATGAGGTAATTAACCTGAGGTGAAATTCTAGGGAAGACCGGGCAGCCTGTAGTTTTCACACATTAACAAATGGGGGAACCTGGATTTGTCACCACCCGCTAATGTGTTACTGCTACCACTGCCTTGTCTTCCTAGGATTTTACTTCATATTAGCCAGCACAAGATAAGTACACACCTTTTTTCCTGTTAATAAAAAAAGCCACACTACTCCCACTAATTTTTTTGGTTCCTTTTCCTCTACCCCTCCCCAGGTCACTAATATCTCTGTGCCCTTATGCTGGGGGTTGTGGCCAAAAAGACCTGCCACCACTATCTGCCACTTCCCATCCGTAGCCTGGCCCATTTTCCACATTTCTGCACAAGTTGCATAGAACATCGCTGATCCTTCACTGTAGCTTGATCACAGCATGCCAGCTTGTCAGAATGACTGTAGGAGAATGTCCCTGCTCCTCCTTACTCATTCTAGAATCATCAAGAACTGTCGGTGCCAGATCACTTCAAAACGACCCGTTCTTGATCTGTGACATTACAGTGACTGAAACCTTCTGCAGGAGGCAAAGTGGTTTTATCACCCACCATAAGTAAAAGGCCAATTTCATCCCTTGTGTAACTCCAGTGTAGTCAGGTCGAACAAGCATTTAGTCAATGGAGCGATGC